CAAAACTACTGTTTTTCACTTTAATTGAGTTTCTTTCAGTTAAAGTATTCGATTAGATTATCGTTTTTGTTTGTAAAGTAGTTTTGTTGTCAGTACTTTTGAGTACTCTGTTTTTTTATTGTATCTGTTAGTACTTTTGGTTCTAACGATCCACAGTTTTTCCACTTTTTTGGTCATAGATTATTTTTGTCCCTGAGCATTTTTGCATCTAGTTCTTTTTAAAAACCCCGGTGTTTAAATGACTGGACAGTGCAAAAAAGTAATTGCCAATGCCTGGGCTGTCGTTATCCTGTTGAAAGCGGCATGCAGTGCGATGAGTGCAAAGGATGGTACCACGAAGTTTGCACAAATTTAACGCTTGCAGCTTTCAAACGGTTCAGTAGGAATGGTTGCGTATGGCTCTGTCAACAGTGCTGTTCGGATGCTAACAGCTTGCTAGCCGAGGCCACCTAATTGGTTAGTGCTGCTAAAATATGTTTTGGCAAGAGTGGTCGCGATACATCATCAAGTACTCGCTCCGTTGACACGCAAATTGGCGTGAGGCGAACTAAAGTGAGTTCGAAAACAGATGACTCGCACCGACCAAAGGAGGGAGAACAGTCCCCAAAGAGTTCTGCCCGCACAAAAATCTCAAGAAAAAAAGTTTCTTCTGTCCCACGTCCTCAAAATGGTATCCAGAAAGAAACACATAAAAGCCGCAACCGCAAGGCTCGATCAGTTTCTAAAGGAACACCAAACCTGACCTCCCAAGTCATCGAAAACCCTCCGGAATCCCACAGTATGCTTGACGCGACTGTGGTTGCTTCTCCAAGCAACGCTCACGAATGGGTACAGGTTGTGAGGAAGAAACAGAAAAGCGATATGAAAGGGAACCCTGCCCCCACAAAAGAAGTCGGAAAATCGAAGGCTGATCACAGTAACAGATCAGTCATTTTTCATAGGATCAAGGAAAGCGAAAGCTCCGAACCAAAAATTCGTTTTGAGCATGACATTGTCCTGATAGAACAGCTACTTAATCAACTCATGCCTCAAAATATCTTTGGAGTCACCTTGCTAAATGTGTATAGACTGGGTAGTTTAGCGAACTTGAAGCCTAATCAATCTAGACTGCTTAAAGTAGTTTTCAAATCTTCGAATGAAAGGGACTTAATTTTGCAGAATGGACATGAATCAAAGGGTTTGGGAGTTTTTATCCGAAAGGACTTGCCGTTGGCAGACCGTGTAAAAAGGCGGGAAGCCGAAAAAGAACTACAAATGAGCTTAGACGCTGGCGAAAAGGATCTGAAAATTGTAAATTTTCGGGTTGTGAGGCTTCGTCAGAGAATGATGGCGAAGCCACTTAAATAGGCTACGGATCTGTTACACTAATGCCCGAAGCTTGCTCAATAAGCTATCGGAACTAGGTGAACAGATTGACTCGACAAAGCCAGACATAATCGCAGTCACAGAAACCTGGCTCACACAGTCTATAGATAATATGGAACTGGATTTTGAGGGTTTTACTTTAGTAAGGACCGACAGAATACATAAGCGTAAAGGAGGGGGAGTAGCTCTATTCATTAGAAATGCTATCCCGTTTGTCATTATTGATAGTGTATCCCATGATAGTGGGACGTGTGAATTGGTTAGTTGCCGCTTAAAATTCATGGGGCAAGAGCTGCTAATTGGTTTGGTCTATCGCAGTCCAAGCTGTGAGGTAAATGATGTCCTGTTAAACAGGCTCAAAAATCGGTCGCGAAGTGGTCGATGTCTAATTCTAGGGGACTTTAATGCACCTATGGTAGACTGGGGAAATCTGCGAACCGAATCATCAGATAATTCCTTCGAGCAGGAACTAGTTGATGCGGTTATAACATATGCCCCAGTGCAACATGTGAAAGAAGCGACTAGGTACGATCCTGACACTGAATCATCCTTACTAGATCTTATATTAACTCACTATGAGGATGACGTTGCGAACCTCCTTTACATGCCACCCCTAGGCAAAAGTGATCATGCAGTTTTAACTTTTGACTTCCATATAACTGTCAATCACGAGCAAGCGTCAACTCAATCCAGACCTAACGTCTGGAAAGCAAGCATACCAGATATCATGCACTCGGCATCATTAGTAGATTGGACAATAGACCCAGAGTCCTCAATTGAAACGGCTTGGGATGCATTCCGAAATTTATACTTAAAAGTTACCGCACCCCACATTCCTTGGACTATACCAAGAGGGCCGAGAAACTCCCCACCATGGTTCAATAGGGAGGTCCGCATCCTTCTCCGTAAGAGAAGAAAAATGTGGGATAGATTTAGGTTACTGGGGACTGATGAGACAAAATCTCAGTACCGAAAAGCTAGGAATACCTGTGCCTCGACCCTCCGTAAGTCTAGAAAGCTGTACGAAGAAAAAATTGTTAAGGAATCCATAGAATGTCCTAAACGCCTGTATTCCTATATAAACCAAAGGACAAAAAGAAGAGGAATTATTCCTGCACTATGGGGAGACAGTACTGCCGCATCATTAGTGGAAGATGACTTTGGTAAGGCTCAAGTGTTCTCAAACTACTTTAGCAATGTATATACCATAGAAGCACCCTTCCCGTCAGCGCATACAACCCCCCCACACATACACTGGATAGCGTGACCATAAATGAACTCGATGTCTTTGATCTGCTAAATAAGCTTGAGATAGGTAGATCCATGGGGCCCGATGAATTGCATCCTAGGCTACTAAAGGAATTATCTAACTTCGTTGTGAACCCTTTAAGTATATGCTTTAAGCTATCCGTTACGCAGGGTCGTTTACCAAAAGACTGGAAGAACGTCATAGTAAGTCCTGTCTTCAAAACAGGTACGAAGTATAAACCTGAGAATTACCGACCCGTTAGCCTAACTAGTGTGGTTGTTAAAATCTTAGAAAAAATTATTCGGAAAGAGCTGTTTAAATACCTCGATGTAAACCGAATCCTCTCGGAGAAACAGCACGGTTTCAGAATAGGTTATTCTTGTCTCATTAACTTATTAGTCACTCGAGAAAGCTGGTGCGCTTTTAAGGACCAAAGGTTACCTGTAGACGTGGCTTACATTGATTTCAGCAAAGCTTTTGACAAGGTTCCGCACAACCGGCTGTTATATAAGCTAAAAAATGTCGGAATTGGAGGCAATCTATTGACGTGGATAGAAGACTTCCTTGTTGGGCGCCAACAAAGAGTACGGGTAAACTCAAAATTATCTAGCTGGGAAACTGTACTTAGTGGAGTGCCCCAGGGTACAGTTTTGGGGCCAGTGCTATTCCTCCTGTATGTAAATGACCTTCCTCGCTTACTATCATCATCGGTCTTGCTATATGCTGACGATGTCAAGATATGGAGAACGATACGATGTAAGGGTGATAGCTTAGAACTCCAAAATGATCTGAAGAAATTATCCGAATGGTCTCATACATGGCAGCTGCCGATAAGCCCCCAAATGCCCTGGTACGGCCGAGAGTGGGGAGAGTCCGCTCTCCCTCTCCAAATGCTCTCACATGGCCATGCGTATATAGCCTCTGCCAGGGAAGTCCTACTCACTGCCTTCTCGTGGCGGGGGTGTTGTTTACAAAAATGAGAGGACGAAAAGCGAATGTCCAGCGCTTTAACCGGATCCCAAACCAATGGTGCACATGGGCTCGGGGTGTGGTCCCCTAAGAAAACCACGTGCTTCGGTTTGGGCACCCGGGCAGTATCACAGCCCTCACACAAATCAATTGAGATTCGTGTGGCGCATATATACTTGGTGCCTCCCTGTACCTATACTTATGTGTTAAAATAAAATAAATAAAGCTGCCGATAAATACTTCCAAGTGTGTTGTGATGCATATCGGTCATCAAGGTTCAGATACATACACGATGAATAACACTGAGCTACCTGTTGTCCAGACACATAATGACTTAGGAGTCATCGTTAGCCAAGATCTGAAGACTACTGCACTCTGCCGTGCAATAGCCGCCAAAGCTTTTAGAACTTTATGGTCAATACGTAGGGCTTTTACTCATGTCGACGCTCAAACGTTTTTGACTTTGTATACAGTGTTCGTACGTCCTAAACTTGAGTACTGCATACAAGCGACTAGCCCCTGCTTAAAAAAAGACAGTGAGCTTTTGGAAAAGGTCCAGAGAACAGCAACTAAGCTGATTCCCGTAATAGTGAAGCTTCCGTATGATGCTCGACTAGCCAAGCTAAACCTATTCCCTTTGTCATATCGTAGAATTAGAGGCGACTTGATTACATTTTTCAAATTGCTTAGTGATAAACTTGCACCTGATATGCCCTCATTTTTCTTGCCTTCCAAAACAGATAATTTACGAGGGCACTCCAAAAAAGTTCACAAGCCCAGAACAAATTACTTGTCAGCTGATTATCGACTTTCCCACCGAATCATCAACGGGTGGAATTCATTAACTCAACATGTGGTTGAAGCTCCATCCGTAGATTCTTTCAAAAGAAAGTTGGATCAACTGAGAGAACACAATTGCCAGGACTAACACAGGCCATCAAGCCTCCTGTCCTATCCAAACGGAAACTGAAACAAGGATGCTAAGAGTTCCACAAAACGGAAAATATACGGTGAAAGAGGTAAAACATTTATGAAGAGTACGAGAACCAAATACATTTGTGTCAAGTACCCTTCATAAATGTTTTCCCTCTTTCACCGTATATTTTCCGTTTTGTGGAATACTTTTAGGCACAGCAAAAACGTTATGACCGTTCGAAGCTGCCCGCGCTTTCGTTTCAACGACCTTGAACAGCCTGACAAGAGGCGGTCATTCCGTATTTCTATTGCCGTGGGTTGGTTGGGTTTCATGAGTGTCAAGTTTTTTCATAATTAAGTCATGTTTTGCTGCATTGAAAAGCACAAAATAATTATCAAACGCATTAATTTAGCATTCTCTTTCTTGTAGTGTACACGTTGGCTCTGTTGTTGCTTCATAGTTTGATCTGTGGTCCCAACTGCTGTAGTAAGCCTCTACGAAATGTCAAATCAACGGTAAATCCTAAGTATTTATAGTTCTTCCTTGAGTTATTACTGTTTCAAGGAATTATTTTTTTATAAACAGTGATTTTTGTTTGTAGTGCTTCGTGCTCAAGCGACATTTCAGTCGTCCTTAGCGAACCTTTTCAAAGTATGATACTGAACAAGCGTTTTGCATACTGGGATGACTTTGATAACGCCCTAAAAGAGTTCCAAAAAGTATGGAAGAGTGATTTTATCATTTCTCAGACTACGTGCACTCATTACATCCACGCAGAAAGCAGGTTGCTGAAGGATGTCAGATTCAAATACCTGTTTGTTGCTTTTCATTGTACATTTGGTCATAAGCGGAAATCAGAAGGTTTGAAAGTGAATCAAAAATCGTGAGAACTTTAGCTAATATGTGACGTTTAAGGTCTAAATTCCTTAATTGTCAATCAAAGTTCCGTGTACGACTGGAGGCGGAAGGATATGTCATCAAATCCTACAAGATGCTCCACAATCATCCATGTAGTAGTTCATGGATGGTTTGTAATCCATGGACAAGAAGATTATCGTCGGAAGAAAAAGAGAATTTGAAGCCAGTCATTTTGCAGTCGCAGTCAACTGATGAAATTATAGAATGTGTCAAGGAGAGAACTGGTAAGGTGGTCACTGTTGTTGATGTCAAGTCTATGAAAGCTGAACTCTCCACAGGTAAGTGTATAAAAGTATATTTCAGGTTGTTGTACGCGTAAAAATGTTATGGATTTGTTGCGACAGAAAGGTGAAGTTAGGGAACATTTAGAAAATGGATATGTAACGAGAATATGTTTCAGTATTTATGACCAAATGCACTTGTACAATGAATATCCGGAAGTTGTTTGCATTGATTCTACTTATAATACCAATAATAAGAAGTGATTGTTCTTTTGCTTGTATTCTATTTTGTAGATATTCCTTATTTCAGTTGGTTGTAACGGATAACTTTGGTCGAGGACGTACGGTCATGTTTGCCTGGACGCTAAAGGAAATGCGTGCAGATGTCACCTGGATTCTAGACAAATTCAAAGAAATCATGGGAACAACAAGACGGACAGAAACATTTGTTATGGACTGTGCACGATCAGAAAGCGCGGCTGTCCGTATCACACACGGGCACGCAAACATTATTCTGTGCGCTTTTCACGTAATCCGCGCTTTCCGCAAAAAGGTACACCAATAGTTACTTACATAACATTGCCCTTAGACACGTGACAAAATCGTGAGAACGTACCTCAGTCGATTGGTAAACGCTAAAACGGTTGGACGGTATTTTTTTGAAATGTATTTATTGACTAGATTTAATCAATATTTCAGAATAATTAACCAAAGGGACAGGCAGCTAGCTCAATATCTTCATCGATTTTGGATGTCGCGTAAAAGTATGTGGGCTCTAGCGTTTTACGGCAATGTTTTAACATTGGGCAATAACACAAATAATCGTGTTGAGTCTCTCAACCGTCAGATTAAAAGGTATGTGAAGAGAACAGATAGTTTATATAAATGCATATACAAAGTTATCAAATGGAGTGCAATGACGTCATCTAGAAAAAATATTGAAGATCAAATAACAGCCTTAAGGTCGTGTACATATGAAGCCCCACAGCGTTTGATTCCGTTGTTGAAAATGCTTACGCCATACGCGCGACGTAAAGTGCTATACGAACTTAAACATATGCGTTTTGTTTCTGTGGGATATGAAGCCGGAGACTGGGTGTCTATTGTTGATTGCGGGAAGCATTATGCAGTGGATCTAAATACTATTGAATGTGAATGTAGTACATTTCTTATATGTCGATACCCATGCCGCCATCTGCTACTCGTATATTTTAAAAGACGAACTCTTTCAGGTAAGCTATATTGATTTTGAAATATAAATTGTATAGCTAATGAACTTCTTAGGTACTGCAGGCGGAAGTTACGTGTTACCAATAACTTGCAAAATGACACATCAATAGCACTATCGACACAAAGAAATGAGTATATAAGTGTTCTGCGAAGCCAAAAAATTAACAGGCGTCATATCCTATGGAAGTATGGTGAAAGTTTCGCAACGGAAGTTGAGAAGAAGGTGAACAGTTATCATTTAAGAATTATTAATGATAACCTGTAAACAAGTTTTTATGCTAAAAAGTTAAATAAAGTACTTCATAATTTTCGTTCTCCTCTTACTCCTTCGTTGTTGGGGATATTGTCCACGAGTCAGTGTCTGTAGGAATTAAGAAGGACGTAAAGTCTTACTGAATAGGCATTCAATATATTTCGTGGTTTCTTCTCAGCTGCTTACAACGAAATGTGCATTACAATTTAACATTTAGGTCTGAAGCAGTTGATATAAGTAAATATAAATAGTTGGAATAACGTAGGTCATCAATAATAACAATGTAAATATGCATATATGCAGGTCAAAGGTCATTTATTTATAGAACAAAGGATACATTAAGGGTGTCATTTTGCAAGTTATTGGTAACACGTAACTTCCGCCTGCAGTACCTAAGAAGTTCATTAGCTATACAATTTATATTTCAAAATCAATATAGCTTACCTGAAAGAGTTCGTCTTTTAAAATATACGAGTAGCAGATGGCGGCATGGGTATCGACATATAAGAAATGTACTACATTCACATTCAATAGTATTTAGATCCACTGCATAATGCTTCCCGCAATCAACAATAGACACCCAGTCTCCGGCTTCATATCCCACAGAAACAAAACGCATATGTTTAAGTTCGTATAGCACTTTACGTCGCGCGTATGGCGTAAGCATTTTCAACAACGGAATCAAACGCTGTGGGGCTTCATATGTACACGACCTTAAGGCTGTTATTTGATCTTCAATATTTTTTCTAGATGACGTCATTGCACTCCATTTGATAACTTTGTATATGCATTTATATAAACTATCTGTTCTCTTCACATACCTTTTAATCTGACGGTTGAGAGACTCAACACGATTATTTGTGTTATTGCCCAATGTTAAAACATTGCCGTAAAACGCTAGAGCCCACATACTTTTACGCGACATCCAAAATCGATGAAGATATTGAGCTAGCTGCCTGTCCCTTTGGTTAATTATTCTGAAATATTGATTAAATCTAGTCAATAAATACATTTCAAAAAAATACCGTCCAACCGTTTTAGCGTTTACCAATCGACTGAGGTACGTTCTCACGATTTTGTCACGTGTCTAAGGGCAATGTTATGTAAGTAACTATTGGTGTACCTTTTTGCGGAAAGCGCGGATTACGTGAAAAGCGCACAGAATAATGTTTGCGTGCCCGTGTGTGATACGGACAGCCGCGCTTTCTGATCGTGCACAGTCCATAACAAATGTTTCTGTCCGTCTTGTTGTTCCCATGATTTCTTTGAATTTGTCTAGAATCCAGGTGACATCTGCACGCATTTCCTTTAGCGTCCAGGCAAACATGACCGTACGTCCTCGACCAAAGTTATCCGTTACAACCAACTGAAATAAGGAATATCTACAAAATAGAATACAAGCAAAAGAACAATCACTTCTTATTATTGGTATTATAAGTAGAATCAATGCAAACAACTTCCGGATATTCATTGTACAAGTGCATTTGGTCATAAATACTGAAACATATTCTCGTTACATATCCATTTTCTAAATGTTCCCTAACTTCACCTTTCTGTCGCAACAAATCCATAACATTTTTACGCGTACAACAACCTGAAATATACTTTTATACACTTACCTGTGGAGAGTTCAGCTTTCATAGACTTGACATCAACAACAGTGACCACCTTACCAGTTCTCTCCTTGACACATTCTATAATTTCATCAGTTGACTGCGACTGCAAAATGACTGGCTTCAAATTCTCTTTTTCTTCCGACGATAATCTTCTTGTCCATGGATTACAAACCATCCATGAACTACTACATGGATGATTGTGGAGCATCTTGTAGGATTTGATGACATATCCTTCCGCCTCCAGTCGTACACGGAACTTTGATTGACAATTAAGGAATTTAGACCTTAAACGTCACATATTAGCTAAAGTTCTCACGATTTTTGATTCACTTTCAAACCTTCTGATTTCCGCTTATGACCAAATGTACAATGAAAAGCAACAAACAGGTATTTGAATCTGACATCCTTCAGCAACCTGCTTTCTGCGTGGATGTAATGAGTGCACGTAGTCTGAGAAATGATAAAATCACTCTTCCATACTTTTTGGAACTCTTTTAGGGCGTTATCAAAGTCATCCCAGTATGCAAAACGCTTGTTCAGTATCATACTTTGAAAAGGTTCGCTAAGGACGACTGAAATGTCGCTTGAGCACGAAGCACTACAAACAAAAATCACTGTTTATAAAAAAATAATTCCTTGAAACAGTAATAACTCAAGGAAGAACTATAAATACTTAGGATTTACCGTTGATTTGACATTTCGTAGAGGCTTACTACAGCAGTTGGGACCACAGATCAAACTATGAAGCAACAACAGAGCCAACGTGTACACTACAAGAAAGAGAATGCTAAATTAATGCGTTTGATAATTATTTTGTGCTTTTCAATGCAGCAAAACATGACTTAATTATGAAAAAACTTGACACTCATGAAACCCAACCAACCCACGGCAATAGAAATACGGAATGACCGCCTCTTGTCAGGCTGTTCAAGGTCGTTGAAACGAAAGCGCGGGCAGCTTCGAACGGTCATAACGTTTTTGCTGTGCCTAAAAGTATTCCACAAAACGGAAAATATACGGTGAAAGAGGGAAAACATTTATGAAGGGTACTTGACACAAATGTATTTGGTTCTCGTACTCTTCATAAATGTTTTACCTCTTTCACCGTATATTTTCCGTTTTGTGGAATACTCTTAGCATCCTTGGTTACCTACCTGGTTATAATAGGTGGTCACCGTAGATTTAAAGTCATACGGCGGATTAGGTTTAGTAAGGAATCCGACTTCTGGCAAGTTCACATATTTATATATATGCATTCAAAAAGAGTATTTTTCTTGTTTTGTGTTTATACTTTTTCGTACACAAGATGTCTACACTATCTCTATTTCCTTGCAGACGAGCAATCCTTTCTCGAGGCAAAACACGTGAAACCGAATAATTATCAACTATATTTATGTATTTACATTTTTTACCTTATTATTTTATGCAGGCAGTGGAGCAGTTCTTCAGGTTTTGTTGATTTTCATCATTACCTTTGAAGTAGACTCTTCTTTACTTTTTACTTGAGGGCGACTCAAGAGGCAGGTGAGTAAACACCTGATAGCAGGACAGAGCATGGAAAAATCGTACCTCACCAACGTGGTGTTGGGTAGCCCGCTCGCGGCACTTCCTCAGACATTCTTGTTCCATTTTCTCAAACTCTTTCTCTTGCGAGCACGTTGCAAACCGTCAGCTATAGTGTAGTAAAAATTGCATGCTACAAAATAAGATGGCAAATGAAGAGACATCCACGGACCGATGGAGTTGTCATTGATTTGAAGTCATAGTGAGCGAGTTGATAATCCTCCCTTGGACTGCGGAAACAGAACTTAAATGCTTTTGATAAATAGGTTATCGAACCGACGTTCCTACGGAAGTTGATTCTAGGGGGAAGCTAATGTAACAGCTTAGGTTGGATGTCAAGAGTTAATCTCAAGCAACTAAGCATATATCAAAACAGCATAGTTCAGATATTTATTCACTTCTTTATTTTGTTTAGGCGTTATATTTCTATCTATCTTATATTGCTTGTTGAGAGGTTTTGTTTGTCTGAGTAAGGAATCCCACGCTCCACTGTGACTGCGCGAAGATCAAAATAAAGACCTATTTTCCTACCAGTCTGGTTTCTTCTATTAATAACGCGAGGGTTACCATAAGGCACGAAAAATAAATTGAATTAGTCCGAGTTGATCGGATGGCATAGCTCGGCCTTGCGGGCGTGGTCCCAGCTGAATGTTATCTTGTATCTTTTATTCATATTAAATATATTCTATCTCTAGCCTAAGCTTGTTCTCTATCACGTATTGGTAATTGTTACAATTCAATGAGTTGATGTAGACGATGATGTAACTTCCACGTAAGATCTTAAAAATTAGGCAGTTACATCATGTTAATTCTACAATTTTAGGATTAGGTTTATTATTAGAGCAGTGCTAATATTATAGTAGACCGAAATCATACAGATCTAGACTTCGCAGATGATCTGGCTGTTCTATCACACACGCAACAACAAATACAGGAGAAGGCGGCCTGTGTAGCAGCAGCCTCAGCGGCAATAGGTCTCAATATACACAAAGGGAAGAGCAAGATTCTCTGATAAATCACAGGTTGCACCAATCCAATCACAAGTGACGGAGAAAGTTTGGAAGATGTACAAACCTTTAAATATTTGGGCAGGATCATCGATGAACACGGTGGATCTGATGCAGATGTGAATGAACGAACCGTCAAAGCAAGAACAGCATTTTTACAACTGAAAAACATCTGGGACTCAAAACAATTGGCAACCAACACCAAGGTTAGAATTTTCAATATAAATGTCAAGATATTTATACTGTATGGAGCGGAAACCTGGAGAACCACGAAAGCCATTATTCAGAAGATTCAGGTGTTTATTAACAACTGCCTACGCAAAATACTTCGGATCCGTTGGCCAGACACAATTAGCAACAACCTATTGTGGGAGAGAACAAACCAGATTCCAGTGGAGGATGAAATCATGAAGCAGCAATGGAAGTGGATAAGACACACATTGAGGAAAGTACCCAGCGCAAACGCTCACATGGAATCCTCAAGGACAAATGAGAAGTGGAAGACCAGAGAACATGTTGGAGACAGACACGAGAAAAATGACCAACAATTATGTAGAACTAGAAAGTACGGACCAGGTCAGAGTTGAATGGAGAATGCTGGTCGGCGGCCTATGCTCCATTGGAAGTAATAGGAGTAACATATCAACTCGACTGAGCCTACATCTTTAGGTAGATATCTTGAAAGCAACCTACTTTAATTATTATTTGGGTCACACTTGTATTATGCATCACGAAACGTACACGCTTTGACTTAAAATATGAACCTTCACTGTTGGAACTCGTCTTTATGCATCACTGTGGTGAAATCTTCGAAATTCTGTACCTGCCTCACCAGCAAGTTGTGATCATTTAGTCTATACATTGGAAGTCAATTTCATAATATACAATATGTATCAGCTCTATCCCGTCCCAGTTTCTGGCAGTCTAATATTTCAGGAATCAAAGACTGTTATCCCAGCAATTTTACTGTCTAATGCGGATTAGTCGGTTGGAGACGAACATAATAGGTTTAAGCTTTATTTTGGCCGATGACTTTGACCACGAGATGAACAATAATCACATTGCCTTCCATGAATCTATAAGGGAGGCCGTAAGCTGCTGAGGCATAGGAAACACTTCTGAGACTGGTGTTTGTCAAGAATCCCCAAAATGATTAAGTTTGCATACCGAGGAATCATGGCTAGCTACTGAACCACTTAGGAAGGACAGTTGTACTAGAGCGAAACGATTGTTCACGCATATTTGATGAGGAATGAATCGTACTAATGAAATTCCTCCATTATTGCTTTACGAAAATTCAGATAGACTAATCGCATCAACTTTAACTACGGTGGAAAATTTATTGTGCTATTGTTGAAAACGTCCCAGAAACACACAACTAAAGCACCAGCTTTAAGACGTGCAAGTGTGCCTGAGGCACCCGTTCGTTAATTGATCACTAATCTCAAGCCTAGTAGGTCACCGGATCCAGATGTGTCACATTAGCAAATGATGTCACCTGTGTGGGCGCTATCTCGGGACCCCTCATAATGGTGTTCAACATGTCCAACGAGTAGTGAGCCTGATCAAATTAGCATGATGTCTTGAAAGTTTAAGCTTAGAGATTAAATCAAGAAGTTGTGCTAGTGAACATCAGACAGTAATTTTTTCAGCATATTATCAATAGTACATCACTTCCATGCGTTCAGAAACAAAAATGCTGAAGAGTAACGGTACGTCATGACTTTGAAGAAAATGCATGCCGCAACGCAGCAGTTGCCAAACATTTTCCAGCGTTAAGCTCAGTTTGCCGAGCATTTGAAATGCCTTGACAATATGTTTCAGACTTTATATCGCACCTTTGTGAGATCACATCCAGAACACTGCAACCAAACAGCTAGTCCATATCTTATTATGGATGATGACACAACCGGGAGTGTTCAGCGTGCTGGAATAAAATTAGTGAAGGGTCTTTGCAAAATCCTTGACTAAAAGTGCGTAGATCGTTTTCAAATACTTTATCTTAGAAATCGAGCTGATCTTTCACTGGTATTTTGCATCCTACATAACGATTTAGTTGTCTATACATCATATGTTTTTACTCTCTCCATAATAAATCACTTCCGAGGCCACAGCAAAAAGGTTCAAAGACCATGAGTTAATAATCCGAGTGCTCAATGACAGAAATGCCTGACACAAGCAAACGGTATCAGCCTTATCACTATCTATATTTGGATTCCTTGCCAATTTCCCACGGTCTGACTACTACGCCAAAAATCTAAATCCTCCCAAAACATTCCGCACGGAAGGTTTTATGTCGCATCAGTTTGTCTGAATGCGTGACTAATTCAGGATTTGTGGCTGCTCACGTTAAGTGGTTAAGAGCTAGCCGATAGCTCTCTTTAAGTATCCAAAAATAGTTAAAAAACCTCTTTAAGATCTTAATCCGTATAAGCATTATATTTCCAATTTCTGTGTTGAAAGATGAATATATTCTACCACTGAATTATCTATCCTGAGCTTTGATTGCTCCGCAGGATGAGTTGCAACGCACTGAACCACTAATAGCTGAAAATCCTATCTACGACTTAGTGAGAGGTAACTACACGTCTTACAAATGTATACACAACCGACTTTGGGGGTGTTAACATAGGATTTAAAAATACTACAGTTAGATGGCAAGTGAAGTTATCACTCAACAACAAAATTTCCCTGCATGTAAATTCCTTTGTTCATTAAACTAGGATTTATGAGGACGTTAGTAATAAGTCCAACGCTACGTTCGATAATATGATCGTGCCTACTGTGATACAGTCTAGTTGTGTGTGGTCAGACTCCATTACGACCGAATGATATCAATAATATGTATATATATATATATTTATATTTATATGGGAGCTTACTTATCAATTCTTATCCTTTACGGTTTCACTCGGACTTAGGGAGCACACTTGAATGCCTGGATGAAATACCCCCCACACCCGTTCGACTGTCATATAGGGGGGGAATGAACATGGTTTACAGGGTCACAGGATTCTTCAGGTTGTTCTGTGAACAGTGACCAGTTATGTGATGCCACAAAATCCCTTACTTTTTTTCTGGTAGACCTCGAACAGCGCTAAGTAAATAACTTGTTAGTCCATCGTAAATAGCATGAGAGTACCAATTTATCGGCTTCTACTCTGTTCTCTCATCAACTGGGAATGGCCATTGACTTGTTCGATATCTTCAACGCAGAACTAGTAATTGACAGGCACATAAGGTTAGCCTTCTGTGAAATTAGCTTGCTGACGACGTATCCCGTGAACACCACTTAAATGATTCTGTTATCTCCCAGTGTTAAAATTAATCCTGTTGATGTAGTCTCTGAATGTGATGTGTGCCCTAAGCACTAACGAACGCAAAAATAATCAGAGAGAAACTTTGAGAAGCTAAATATACTTGTATGTCTGTATTTTTTGGTATATAAATGCATATATATATTTACGTAAACATTGGGTAGAGGAAAGGGACAAGAATCATATTTTAAAGGACCTGCCTTAACAAATTAAAACAAGTAACTTTCTAAACCAATTAAGGGACACACACAGTGCAGAATATCTAAAGTTAGAAACAAATAAATAATTAGTAATAAATGTCGATACCAGCCGACAAAATCATTTACTAAAATTGAACATTTGCAAGCGATAATGATAAATTAAAAAAGATTGACAAGCGCATTTTGTAAAATCCTGGGACGATTTATTGTAAAGTAATAAGAATAACAGTGACAATAGGCATAGTAATAATAGTTGAAGAAATAAAATAATGATAAGTTAGACTCTTGAATATCATAAAAGAGCACAAGTAGTACTAGGTTACAACAATGAATAACAAAAAATTGATATCATTGCAAAGATAGATCAAAAGAAAACAATTACTATAATTCAAATTAAAACAGATTTAGAACATAAACTGACAAGGATGAAAAGCGTATTAAAAGAGATTATAATTCAAAAAAAAATTTTTATAGCAAGTGATATCAACTGAACCTAGACGAAAACGTAGGTATTTATCTAATATCCAGTACGACAGTTTCACTTAATCTGTCACAGAATCGAAACCTAAACAAACAAAAAAAGAAAGAAAATATACACACACGAAAGTAAACAGAACAATAAAGAAGACTATATGAGTGATATGTATAGTGAAAATACAAACTACTAACACTCTACTCTAATTGTGAATACAAGGCGATCAGAATGGCTTGTCGTAGTCAAATGTTCAACTCATGTTAGGTTTCGAAACATGAACCCACAGATGCTTAACTGTGGACGTATGCCTTGACTTGGAGGCTACAATCATTAGTTTCATTGTAGTGTCCATAATCGGAAAACGTATTACCGAGGAACAAAGAACAGATGATCTTTAGCTCAAATATTATTGGTTGAGACCAAGTTTATTTCAAACTGTCAACTTTAAATGGTGTTCTTCATCTCTGTACAGTTTCTCTAGTTTTGCTTTGTGCAGAAAATGCCAAAAGTCGCTTTTTCAAAACATAAAAATTCAGGGATTCGTTTCCTGCCTAAAGGATATGTGATGTTTTATTGTGAAGGAGTAGGTTGGAAGAAAGTTAGGGATGGCCACACTTAAACATGGCACAAATCCGTGAAGTCACTAACAAGTGGATTGATCCATGTTGGTAGGTATAAACTACCTCGTTGGGGTCCG